CCAATTAAAACATTAAAAAAAAACAACTAAAAAGTACTATTTTAATGTTTATATATATTTTATTATTTATATTTATTTATTAGATTTAGACTCTTTACTCCATGCTCTAACGTTTATAACTAATAAAATTATAACTGTAAAATCGTATATATTTGTAGATTTAAATTATAAATTTACTAATAGTTTGTTTCTTCTTCTTTCTTTTTTTTTTCTTCAGTTTTTTAATGAAGATAAAAAATTTTTATATTAGGTCCTGAAAATTACGCAGTATGTGGAAGAAAATGCAGAAACTTAACTTATGAACGCTGTTGCAATGGAGTTATCCGACCATACTTATTATTTGGAAAGTGCGGAGAACGATGTTATTTTTTCCGAACCCAATACTGCTTAAACGGACGCGTTTACGCACGCATTTAAACACACTCTTTGTTACTTTTAAACAACAATGAATAATAAATATTTTATCTTTTATATATTCTATAATAATTACTTTATTATTAAACTTCGAGTTAACCTGGTTGGCTCAAAAAACTTCAAAAGAATATTAAACGCGTATTTAGTATACAAAACATTTACTTTATTTTAGTTTTCTTCCTATTTGAAAAATCTTCAATATTCTGGTTTTTGTTCTTGTTATTATTGTTACACAATATTATTATTATTAAGATGTAAAAAGTTTATTCTTGGAATACTTCAACAAAATTTGATTGTATTTTTTTGAAAAACTTTGCGAAAAAACGTATCTTTTCAAGTAATTATATTGCACGCACGTGATTACCCAGTAAGAACAGGACGCGTATAACTTGTTTAAAAAATGTGTTAATACATTAAAACTAAGCTCAAGTTTGACGAAACTGCATAACCTTAAGGAAAACTAATGATTTTGCCGGAGATATGAAAGTTATAAATTTAAAAAAAAACTATTTTTGTGTGCAAAATATAAAATATTAGTATATTAATAATTTGTAAATATAATTTATAATATAAGTTTTACATCCTGCAGAAATAACGCCAGTCGACACATTAACTTGTAAATGCGTACTAAAAAATTATTTGAAAATGCATCATTGTAGTATGTGCGTTATCCATTTGTTTCGGACGCAAAATAAGGTGAGTTTCCACTCATCCGTTTTTTCGCGGGAACGGAAAGGGAGGGGAAAAACAATCACGTGGGCATGCGTATTATAAGTTTTAAATTGTCAAACTTGCATTTAAATCTCTAATAAATACTTAATAAATACACATAAAACACAATAATCAGATTTTTTTTAATGAAATGTTTTCTTGGTATTAAGTGTGCATTTAAAACTTTCCAAAATACTAGTTATTTACGAATGTATGTGCCCCATATTCTTTTCTAGAACATTTTCTAAAAATACTTTTCAGACACGTTTAAAAATAGTCTTACAATAGTTCTAAAAATTGTAGCAAAAGTTACATCCTTGAAAATTTTAATTAATACATCAGTTTCGTACCTTAATTTCTCATAATATATTAATGTATTCAGTGACGGATCCAGTATATTTTTGTGGGAGTAGGGGGATGTTGAAATATTTTGTATGTTGTATAATATTTGCGTCTCCAAAACAAAAGGTCCTCCATTTTGAAGATAATTTAGGACTTTTAGAGTCTGGTGGGAAAGGAGTGAGTATACCCCGTTCCCCTGGATCCGTCACTGAATGGATGATTTATTTTGTATTATATTAATGTATTTTTTCTTACTAAGTATAACTGTTTATACAACTAAAGCACACTATGCAACTTAGTATTCAAAAACTACTTCAATTACAAATTACATTAATTACATAATTACATAAATTACATTGTAAATTACATAAATTACATTGATAAATAATTGTAATCAACTTTTCAAAAACTTTGACTAAATAAGGAAAATTATTTAGTCAAAGTTTTTGAAAAGTTGCCACCGAAACCGAAAATGTGCCCTAAATTAGCACATTTTCGGTTTCGGTGGCAAATCATAAAAAAGATGATTTCAAAGAAAGACAAAAAAAAACTCCGAATGTTTTAAATTATTTGACAAATCTATATCTGAAAATTTTTTACCTAAAACTAAGAAAAATCCTTACTTAAGGCTAAATTCATGCAATCAGTTTTCAGTGAGGTTAGTGTTACCTTTTTGTATTCCTTGTTTCTATTTTGCCTTAATCATCATCATCATAAATAAAGAAGACACCAAAGAACTTAATAATTTGTATAAATACTAACTAGTTAGTGTATGTAAAATCAAAAAGTTGAAATTTCTTTTGTTTTATATAATTTTATCAATAACAACTTTAACATAAATACAAAAAATACATAAATTCAGAAGCAACTTTAACGTATATCTAAATTAGTTTATTTATTTTGAACTTATTTTTGGGTATATCATATATTTAGCACTTACACCATCTAATAAATTGTAACCATTGTTTTTTTTTAATTATATATTATTTATTTATCTTTTTTTTTTAATTGAGTTTCGCCCCATATATTTAAATTAAATTAAAAGCAGGGGCGAATCCATCATTTTTTAGTGTTAGAGTACAATATTTTAGAGTTCAAAATTGTGACCATATAAAATTTGTAACACCCTTAAATTCACACATTTTTTACATTCTATTCTACAAAATTTAAAATTTATATATAAACTTAGTTTACAATAGTTAAAAAAGTTTTTTTTATCAACTTGCTGTTCTCAAGTTTGGAGCGTTAGTTTACAATAGTTAAAAAAGTTATTTTTATCAACTTGCTGATCTATAGTTTGGGACGTATGGAGGGCAAAAGTTTTAGTGTTTAAGAATCCCAGCATTTTTTGGTGTTTAAAAAACTTCCACGTCTGGAAGTTTTGTAAACACCAAAAAGTGCTGGATCGGCCAGTAAATAAAAGAGCTTTCTTAATTACAGAAAGTGAGACCTTTATCTTCGATTTAATAAGAATAAAAAAGCATAAATATTATAGCATAAATATGAAAAAACAATCATTTATAATACAAAAATACTCTAAAAAAACTTTTGTAGCAAAAAACGTTTTTTTTTATAAATGACTAAATTTACTTCAGTAAACCATTAACATTGTATTTTAATGTTATAACATGTGATACCTAGAAATCCGGACAAAAGTTCGGTCGACATAAATTGTTTAAGGAGTGTTGCAAAATTGTTGCAACTTATGCTACGTTGTAGTACATTTAATTGTCTACAAATTGCAATATATCTTTTAGTAAACAATTATTTATACTGGCAAAGAAAATTATTTCAAAACATGAAGACCTAAGAAAGCGCGTGTACGCGTTAATCGATTTGCTTCCGGATATAAAGAAAAGTGAGATTGTGAGACACTTCATGATCGAAGGCGCATCAAGGTCGACCCTGTAAAATATTCTGCAGCGCAAGACGCTCAATATAGGCCCTGAAAGACAGCGTTGAACTGGACGGGTGGCGATTAAGATGAACGCAAAGCGAATCACCATGCTGAAAAAGCGAATCGATCATAGTGACGGAGTTAGCCAGTGTCAGCTAGCCCGCGAGTATGGTATCAGCCAAAAGCACATATCAAAAACAATTAACACCAAGACAATAATCAAATAGAAAAAGAAGGAAAAAGTTCCGGATCAAATTCCACAACAGAAGTCAGCCGTTCGTCCGAAGTGTGCCCACCTGGCCAGAGTTTTCCTGAAAAATCAGGTGATCATCGACGACAAGTCCTAGTTTTCGTTGAACAATAACGAGCATCTGGAAACGCTGGTTTCTACACATCTAACGTCGAAATGACTCCAGAAGCTGTTAAACTCAAGCGAAAGTCCAAATTCGAGCCAAAGTTACTTGTTTGGATTGCTATGTTCGACGACGGCCTGTCGAAGCACTTGGTGATACCTTCGGGCGAAGCGATCAATCAAGATGTCTACATCCAGAAGTGCTTGATGAAGCGCTTGATTCCGTTCATTGAAACAGTTCATAAAAACGACGAGATCGTTTTCTGGGCTGACCTCGCTACGTCTCATTACGCAAAAAAGACGCAGGAGTTCCTCCAAGCGAATAACATCGAATTCGTGCCTAAGGAGCATTACCCTGCCAATGAGGCAGAACTCCGACTAATAGAAGACTTTTAGTCAGAACTCAAACGAAGAGTATAGGATTGTGGCTGGAGAGCAAAAACCGTTGACCAGCTCACTGACAGGATCAACTACTGCAAAAAACAGTCAAGATCGCGTACATCGACTTGGCAAGACTTCTTTCAGCCGAGTGGACAACGTTCGTAGACATGGCGTGATAAACTTATATTTTTTTTAAATCTGAAGCTTCATATGCTTAACTTTAATTATCTTTTTACAGAAATAAAATTGCACCTTTAGTTTCAAAGTTATAAGTTTTTTAGTTTTGTCCGGATTTTTAGGTATCACATGTTACTTTATCTATAATGACTATTACTAACCAAATCTACTGTTGTAGATTTTGTAGGCAAGAAAAATTTAATACAGAGGCACAATTAACATCTTCAGTTAATTGCAATGTGGCGCGCAACCTGACAGCATCGAGTTCATACGCTGATATTCAGCAGCCTTTTTTTTCGAGGATGTTGACTGGCATAGATTCCACTTTATAGATTGAGATCTTGCCTAATAGACACATACAAAAAATAATAAGTATAGGGATGTAAAAAATGGAACCACTCGGCACAAAAATGTCGGAATACGCTAAATAACCCCTACTACACACATCTGCTTACATTGCATTTACCACCACGCTACAGAATCTACAATTTTTTTGATATTTTTCTTTATTTTTTGCAATAAATAAGAAAATACAAAAAAAGCTGTTTAAATAAGATTCAGATAAAAAAAATCTACGTCACGTCCAAAAAATTTAAAAACATCTATATAGTATTTAAAATAAATAAAAACAAATTTAAAGAATTTAATTTTAAAATAATAATTTAAAAACCTTGTCACTCGTTAGCCATAAACGTAGTACATAAAAAAGTTTCATAAAACGAAATATAAACTTAAAAAAATTTAATCGGCATTAAAAATACTTTTTAAAGTTACATATAAACGCTTTGTTAGAGACGTCGCGTCGACAATTTACTTAGGAGTGTTTCTTAACTGCGATTTATCTACCTGAAACAAAGATTTAAAAGATATAAAAATCAAATAATTAAAACAAGCAGAAAAAAAAAAAAAAAAGAAAAAAAAAAGTAAAGTGTAAAATAAAAGTGTTATAAAAGATGTTTTTATGTATATAATGGCGTTACTACTTATTAATGCATTTATGTATGTAAATCGTTTATACGTGTAAAATAATTAATTAAACATTTTTCCACTATAAATGTTTATGGAATCATAAAGTGGTAACCTATTTTAATTCAATAAAGATCATATATACGCAAAGAAATCAGCAAAAAACAAATCGAATATTTTGCAGCACTATTTTGATCACATTTTATTTAAAGATAAATAATTTTTTTAATGATTCATGGGTAAATAAAAACTTATATATATACAAACATTAATATTTTACATTTAAATAAAGTTAAAAAAAAACTTTCCCAATATCGACAACATTTACAAGGATTGTGACCCTGATATATAATTAATTAACCAAAAGTCAAACAGACCTATGATATATTAAAATGATGAGGTAAATATATTCTTTAAAATTGGTAATAAAAAATATATATATTAAATATAGAATATATATTAAAATATATTGTTAAAAAACAAATACAACAAATTACAGCAGCAAAAAGTGTGATCAAAAAAAACACCAAGGTCTTTTGAGAATTCAACTTTCCTTCAAATGATCAACAACAATTATGTTCCAATAAACCATAATAAAACTAGCCCAGTGAAAAGAAATATTGATATGTTTATCGATGAAGCATTTACATACAATTATCATAAATGCTGATACTTCACATAATCTTGTATTCTAAATTTTCTGAATCTTCTGGGAGACTTAGTGCCCAACTCTGATCCACCCAGTTCAACAAAGCAAGGACACATAACAACTTTGTAGAAATACAATCTAGCAATTGATTGATAGAATCGGTCATAAATATAACTATGATCAAGGAAATATAAACCTGAATACATGAAATCTGAATTATCAAAACTGAGGATTAGAAAGATATATTTTTTGAGAGTATATATAAATATATTCTCCTAAAAATATTAGATACTAGAAAACAAAGTTTTCCAACAAAACTAATATTGTAAACACTCTTAACAAGCAAATTAGCTCTTTGAACAGAGAATATAATTGACACACTGCCAAACAACAACTTTTACACCAATACTGTTATCTTGAGTCTTATAAATACACCAGCTACCATTAAAGAAAATAAGTAAATTAGTTAGAATAGATGAACCTTTAACATCAGTAGGATGTTATATAATGGAACCAATCGTAAAAATGATATAATGAATTAACTGAATGCAAATAAATTAATACATCCAAATCAACATCATTTTGTTAATTACAAACCTTACAGAACAAACTAACTAGAAAGTCTTGATTTTGCAATTTAATTGTAAACAAAAATTATGTTGATATAATCTTTCTCAATTTTTTTTTTCAACCAAATTTACTCACAACAAGGCTGCAAGCAACTACTACTAAGTTGCGAGTTAAAATTGGCAACATCTTTAACAAAGTCCCTTACAGAAGAAGAAATAGACAAAGTATTTAAAAATGAATATCAAGGGATAATTCGCAAAAGGCTTAAGCCTTTCATACCTAACCGAACAAAACATGTGGTTCAAATTAAATCTATATAGTGATTGGCTGAACTATGCATGTTGGTAAAATAAGTCTACATTGTTAATGACTAAAAGACTGCGATCTGAATCAATCTATTGCCAAAACTATATGCAAAAAAGATCTTGGTGTTTTAATATTTTGTAATCTTAAAACCTTGCAAAAACTATTTGCAAACAAGATCTTGGTGTTTTAATAACTTACAATTATAAATCTTTAGCACAAGCATGAAATTTGGCTCATCAGCCAACATAATAATTAATCTATTGAAACATTATTTTTATAAGGCGCAAAGTATATCTGGAAGAAATGATAAACTCGCTACATGCACCTACACCTTAAATTACTTGTGCTATCATGTAATCCAAACCGCAAGGTGATTGCAATTACGCAATCCTAACCTTGCCAGCCATACAAATGCAATGAAAAATAAATGATGAAAAAAGAATGTAACTAATTATGGCATACCTAAAACCCTTAAAGAAAATGTTTTAGTTTAAAAAATCTAAATTAAATTTAAATGCCAATATATGAACAATCAACAAGAAGCTAAATAATCAACAAGATACTTGAAAAAGCTACTCTTAGGTGCAAGGGATGGGGGGTAGGAATAAAAGAAAGTGGTTGGGAATTATAGTCTATATCTAATAAACGGTCTTAATAAAAGGGTGGGTGACAATATAATTATAGTGAAGTTTGCGTATGTAAAATGTACATTTTTTAATGCATATCTAATCACTGATATACATTTTTTCTAATTATTTTTTTTAGTTTTAAGATGTCGAATTTAGGGTTAGGACTATTGTTATTGTAAAAATTAAATACAATAACAATTACAGTACAATAATAATGTATTGTAATACCAGCGATGTAATTAAAACATTTATATTTATAGTTATTGAATTGCTGTAAATAAAAATAGTTACAATAACTATTGTATTGTTTTTTTCTTTTTCTAACAATACATTGAAGATCTAAAACTATTGTATTGTATAGCTGTGATGTAAAACAATTACAATAACTATTGTATTGTATTGCTGGGATGTAAAACAATTACAATAACTATTGTATTGTATTGATGGGATTTAAAACAATTACAATAACTATTGTATTGTATTACTATTTCAAAGTCTAATAGCTATTGTATTTTATAGTATTTAGATTCTTTTTTTACGCATTATTATTATTTGGGCACTAGATCATTTAGCGGTGCCCGTGACGCTTGTTTTCAGCAGTCATTTATATATATAAACTTTATTTATTTTGAGAAGTGAAGTGAAGCCAAAAGAAGTATATATATTATGTATACTTAATAAATATTAGGTTAGGGGTGCACGTGGCACCTGTTTCTAGTAACCATTTACATATATAAATTTTATTTATTTTCAGTTAAATTATATAACTGTTTAAATAATAATTTATTTAGAAATAACATTAATATTATTCATTCAAATTCATACAAATATATAATTTATCATATGCTTGTAATTAAATAATTATTTACTTAAAGAAATTTTTAAATTTTTTTATAATTTTGTCTAAACTGATATTGACATGTTTCACCGGTTGATGACGTCTAAACTAATTGATTAACTAAATTAAGCACATGAAAATCATTTTTTTTAAAAATATCTAACCGCTAATGTGTAAGAAATGACAGCGTTATGGAATTAGAAAACCATTGACCTGGGTAATTATTGATTTGAAAATTTAAACTTCTTTTGTTTTGTTAAAATATTTTCTACATTTTCAGATTGTTCATCACCTATCAGAACGTACCAGTAAATTTTGTGTGGACCATTTTTGAAAAATGAGGCAGTTTAGAACACCAAATAAATATTGTTCTTGTTTATTGTAACAAAGTTCTTTTTTAACTTTACAACTAGATGTCCAGTTACTTTATGAAACACATACAGCCATAAAGCATAAGGGAAACACAAGAAAAAGTTATATTAGAGTAAATGTGAGTTAAGTAAGTTTCAAAACAATTGGATAGGTTCGTAATGTAAAAGCAAATAAATTAGTGGAAGAAATGGTAGTAATTAATCATGATTATCCCCAGAAGTACAAGAAATACAGGCCCAATTAAACTCACTTTTATAGAGCTATATAAAGTTTGAAATAAGGACAAGTGATATTCAGTAAATAAAATAGAAACAGAATCAATACTTATATATTAGTTGTACCTTATGTCAAGGTCACATATCTCGGTGACTGGACTGTAAAAAAAATTTATTAAATTTGGACACTAAAATAACTTTTTTTTATTACAATAACAATATATTGTTATTGTATTATAAAGACGAATTACAAAACAATATTTATTGTTATTGTAATGGGTCATTACAATACTTTTTTTTTTCCAGATATTGTTGTTTTATAAAGATGAATTGCAATAAAACAATTTTAATTGTTATTGTATAACAGAATTACAATAGTTGCAAATCACAAATGCTGAATGAATGAATTGCTTCTAAATTAATAATAATTATTAAAAATAAATAACAATAGTTATTGTTACTGTTATTGTTTTCATTACAATTACAATAGTCCTAACCCTAGTTTCATTTTATTAATAACAAGTAAAAATTAATAAACATGAAGGGGTCTAAATAAGCATGTTAGTGGGTGGGAAAAATTTCTGAAAATTAATAAATGTTCCCTTTATGTATTAAGCACCGAAGAGTAATGGCTATTTAACTCAAGAACATAGAGAGATACACTAGCTACACTACTAAAAATAAATTAAATTTGTTCTGCAGATATGAAAAATTCCACTTTTAAAAACCAGTAAAAGAAATTGTGTGAAACCAAGATTTTACAGAGCTAGGAAAAAAACATGAAAAAACCAACTAATAAAAAAACATGAAAATCAACTGATAAAAAAAAGTGAAAATCAACTGATAAAAAAACATAAAAACCAACTGATAAAAAAACATGAAAAAACCAACTGATAAAAAAACATGAAAATCAACTGATAAAAAAACGTGAAAATCAACTGATAAAAAAACATGAAAACCAACTGATAAAAAAACATGAAAACCAACTGATAAAAAAACATGAAAAAACCAACTGATAAAAAAACATGAAAACCAACTGATAAAAAAACATGAAAATCAACTGATAAAAAAACGTGAAAACCAACTGATAAAAAAACATGAAAAACAACTGATAAAAAAACATGAAAATCAACTGATAAAAAAACGTGAAAATCAACTGATAAAAAAACATGAAAACCAACTCATAAAAAAACATGAAAACCAACTGATAAAAAAACATGAAAATCAACTGATAAAAAAACGTGAAAACCAACTGATAAAAAAACATGAAAACCAACTGATAAAAGAACATGAAAATCAAC